GCTGAGAAATCAATGGCCAATTATTGTGACATTTCTCTTCAGCCAAGTAACCAAGTAATTAATAAGAGACTGAACAAGCACCTAGGTGAAAAGATGTCTAATAATTAACAAGCCACTCTACCGTATTAGAATTAAATTATTGGGGCAACTGGGTGGCTCAGTGGGTTAAAGCCTTTGCCTTCGGCTCAGGTCATGATCTCAGGGTCCTGGGATCAAGCCCTGCATAGGGCTGTCTGCTCAGCAAGGAGCCTCCTTCCCTCCCCCTTTCTCTGCCTGCCTCTCTGCCTACTTGTGATCTCTGTCCGTCAAATAAATAAATAAAATCTTAAAAAAAAAAAAAAGAATTAAATTATGGCACCCAATTAAAAATACTATCAATTTGTAAAATCAAATAAAACTAAGGCAAACATCTTAGGAATTTTCAAAATTGCCAAAAATTAAATAATTCTGACCAAAAAAAAAAAATGGGTACAACTTAATATCAAAAAAGCAAACAAACTGATTATAAAATGGGCAGCAAATTTGAATAGACATTTTTTCCAAAGAAAACATACAGATCACCAACAGGCACATGAAAAGATGCTCAACATTACTAATGGTCAGGGAAATGCCCATCAAAACCACAATGAGGGGGCGCGTGGGTGGCCCAGTGGGTTGAGTCTCTGCCTTCTGCTCAGGTCATGATCTCAGGGTCCTGGGATGGAGCTCCGCATTGGGCTCTCTGCTCAGCAGGGAGCCTGCTTCTGCCTGCCTCTCTGCCTGCTTGTGATTTCTGTCTTCAAATAAATAAATGAAATCTTAAAAAAAAAAAATTATATATATATATATATGAAACCACAATGAGGTATCGCCTCATACTTGTCAGGTGGGCTAATATCAAAAAGACAAAAAATAACAAGTGTTGGTGAGCATGAGGAGAAAAGCAAACTGTTGTGTACTGTTGGTGGGAATTCAAACTGGTGCAGCTGCTGTGGAAAACAGTATGGAGATTCCTCAAAAAATTAAATAAAACTGCCAGCAATTTCACTTCTGGGTATTTATCTAAAAAAGCCAAAAACACCAATTTGAAGAGATCCGTGCACACCTATCCCCATTGCAGCATTATTTACAAGACTTGTAGCCAAGATTTGGAAGCAACCTAAGTGTCTATCAACAGGTAAATGGAAAAAGAAGATGTGATATATATAGACAGATATAGATATAGATATAGATATAGATATAGATCTTACCCATTAAAATAAATGAAATCTTTCCATTTGCAACAACGTGGATGGACCTAGAGGGTATTATGCTAAGTTGAATAAGCCAGACAGAGAAAGGCAAATACCATATGATTTTACTTATATAAGGAGTCTAAAAAACAAAACAAATGAAAAAACAACACAGAAGCAGATTTGTAGATACAAGTAACAGACTATTGACTACAGAAGGGATAGTGGTTGGAGGCAGGCAAAATAGGTGAAGCAGATTAAGAGGTACAAACTTCCAGTTATAAAATAAGTAAGTCATGGGGATATAACGTACAGCATAGAGAACAATAACATTGTGATAACTTTGTATGGTGATACATGGTAGCTAGACTTATTGTGGGGATCATATTATAATGTATAAAAATATCAAATCACTATAATATTCACCTGAAATTAAAAGGATATTGTGTGTCAATTATACTCTGTAGGATGCCTGGCTGGCTCCGGGTCATGAGTTCAGGCATCACGTTGGTGGGCCTACTTAATTAAAATAAAAAATTTTACTCCAATTAATAAAAGAAATTCCTTACAAAACTGAAAAGAGGACTTTAACTCTCTCCATTCTGACCTCTCTATCTGTATTTTCTAACTAAGTTCTCCCTTCCAGTTTATCTCAACTCAGGCAAAAGACACAACGGGTAAAGCATCTTGTGACGGGAACTAAAACCGCCCCCTCAAGCAGTAAGGACTGCCCTGAGCCAGCAAGACCATGCGTGACTAACTCCAGGACAATGACTGACCCAACTTTACGGGCCACCTGCACACACCCACTGACCTTTGTACCACCCTTTCTTTACAGAAACCTGGAAGCATTTTCAGCACTTTGAGACAGTCTTTGAGATGCTAGTCCACTGTTTTCCCCGTGTTGGCCTCACTGAACTAAATTCCCTCCTTGTGTCACCACCACTAGCCTCTGCCCTTGCATTTTGTCAGGAGTGCCTGGCTGAACCTGGCCTGTTTAGCCCTCCCCAGAGCCAGGGGCTCTTGCCTGTTATAAAACAACAACTAGAACAGAAACTATGTGAGAGCCTGGCCCCCATCTCTCCATTTTCCACAGTGCTACATCCCTAAGGCCTGGCACAGTTCTCAGCACAGAGTAGGGGCTCAATAAATACTTTTTTAAAAAATGGCAGAGAAAGAGACTCCAGGGATGGGCAATTAGAGAAAAGGCCATGTGAGGACACACATCCATCTATAAGCCATAAACATAGGTCTCAGAAGAAACCAACCCCACTGGCACCTTGATCTTGGATTTCCAGCCTCAAAACTGTGAGAAAATAAATGCCTGTTGTTTAAGCCTCCCAGTTTGTGGTATTTTGTTAGAGCCACTGGACAAACTATACACACCCTCCAGGCCATTTTTTGGATATGTGAGTTGTCCTCGGGGATAGGGACATCCTGACGGGTGAGGCAGTTCCCCTCATCTGAGGCACTGATTTCCCAGGCAAGGTCTGGATCAGCTGCTGAGAGAACAAGGCTGGGTCCTGCGGGGTCTGGGCTGTACCCCACGGCATCCTCTGCAGCAAAGCGCCCCAAGAGGGCGATGAGCCAGGAGGACTGAGATGGTTATAAGGAAAATACAACAAGGATGAGGACAGTATTACAGGAATCAATTCAGTGATTTGCCATCAAAGCCGGGCTTCACAATCTTAAATAGATCTGCATTCACAAAGCAGCATGTCAGAATCTGGAGGAATCTTAAAGACCATCTCAGCAAACCCCTTATTTAAAAGCTAGGGGCAAAGAGGCTCAGAGAAGTTGAGATTCTCTCACGACCCAGAAGGAACGTGAAAATCAAGGTGGACCCAAGATTCCGGCTTCCCAAGGTTCTCTCCAAGATACCCTGTCTAGCTAAAACTGATTTGGCAGTCACCACACCACACCACACTGGCTGTAAATACAATTTAAAGTTTCCGGCTTAAAAAGAAAGCCAAATATAAATTGCACCGTGTGTAAATTTGGTGGAGTTAGTCATAGCTATGACTCTGTCCCGGTGAGGAAAATTTGCAAGAGCTCAGTATTCATTTCACAATATGCGTTGACTGACCCAAAACAGCAGAAAACATGGAGCGAGCCATTTTTTGTGAATTTGTTCCAGGTGGAAACAAGATAGAACAGATCTCTCTCTCTCTGTCTGCCTTCTCTCGCCTTATTTCCTCTCCCTTCTCCGTCCCCCTACTCTTCCTCCCCTCCCCCTTCCCTTTGCTTTCCCTCTCTACTCTCATATTATCCGGACATCTTAGGTAACAGAATCCCATTGTTTAATATAAGCGAACAGAGTTTCAGTTCAGAGGTGATAAAAAGCTAAAGAGCCGAATAGCTACCAGCCCTCAGTAAATGTTAATTTTCTTTTTTTGCTGTAATATTTGTGCAACATCAGCTTTATAAATCATTTTTCCCCTCTTATATAGATTTTCCCAGAATAACTGTGAAGTCCTTACTGAATCAGTGCATTGCAAATCCTACTATTAAAGCCTTCGGACTTCTTTCAGACACCCTGACAGAATTCTCTCCAGAATGTGACAGGGTATCAACAGCTGACTCAGTTGCCTGAAAGTTGCAGAAACTCCAGACACAAGTGATACACAATACATTCAGTAAAGAATGTATTTTCTCACATAAAAATATGTGAGAGTAAACCTCTCAGTGAAAACAGCATTTTGCTAGATGTAATATGAAGGACATTGGCTGAAAAAGGAGAGAACTGGTAAGTTGGCAGCAAATGCTCAGATCAAAGTGGAGAGAAAGTCTGAATTCAGACAGGGAAGGGAATCCTCAGTCACTCTGCCCGAGGACCTTTGCTGCATTAAGCACAACAAGGACTTCTCAGATTTGTGTTCTGAGGCCTTCCTTCTCTGAGGGAGACATCAATGCCCAGGCAGGAGTCTGATTGAAGTGCCTCCTATAGGCTGATACTCCAAAAGTATCTTACCTGTCAAGGTAAGTGTGAACCAGAAACAAACCTTCCCTTTCCCCCAAGATCCTTGGGGACCTCGGCGAAAGTTGCTGAACACTGATTACAACTAGAAGAAAAAGAAGAAAGAGAAAAAGAATGGTCCTGCCTAGAGGGATCCTGACTGCAGCCCCACCCTCATTGCCTTGAGCAGATTTGCAGGCCTAGTTTCTTTCTGGAATTTCAAGCCAGGTATTTGGTTTAAAGAGTCATTGACCGGTAGAGCCCCTGGGCATCTGGCAGAGGCAAAAGCAAATCCTTTGTGTAGGAAGCACCTCTATCCTGGCCTCCCAGAAACCCTAGATATTCTTCTAGGGCCATGGCCTCTGCACAAAGATAAATGGCAAACCAGGAAACAAGTCTCCATGAGAAAAAGCCAGCAAAAACAAGAAAGAGCAGGGGTGCCTGGGTGGCTCAAATGGTTAAGCATCTGCCTTTGGCTCAGGTCATGATCTCTGGGTCCTAGGAAGATCATGATCTCCTGGTCCTGGGATGGAGCCCTTCATGGGGCTCCCTGCTCAGCAGGGAGTCTGCTTCTCCCTCTGCCTCTCCCCCACAGCTGGTGCTCTTTCTCTCTCCCTATCTCTGTATCAGATGAATAAATAAAATCTTCAAAAACGAGCAGAAATAGACCTACACAAACTTTTACAAGTGTATCAGACACAAATTGTAAAGCAACTATATTGCTGTGTTTCAAGAAATAAAGTCCACAGGAAAGGTTGTACCACTGTTGCACAGTTCAGCAACTCAATAATTCATTCAGGTGTCTAAATACTTCTTACCTTTCTACGTTGGCTGCCATCCTCAGCCACTTGCTTTTCCTCCACTAGCTCTCCTCATGGTCACAAGATGGATGCAGCTGCTCCAGGTTTCACAACCACAGAACTTCCAGAGGCAAAAAAGAGAGGGTATGTTTCCACAAAGCCTCTTTTAATAGGGAAGCATCCTAGCTGACTGGGAACACTTCATGGGCCAGGATTACATCCCATGACCATGGCTAAGTTATTTACAGAGGAGGGAAATGTTTGAATGAGATCAGTAATGATTCAGCTGCTGGGACTCGGGATGGTGGTCCTACCCTAGGGCATTTGTGGAAGAGGATCAATATATAAACAAACTCAAGCTGTAACAGCAAGGTTAAAAAAAAAAAATGTATATGTGATGGGGAGGGATGGGGACAGGAGAAGGAACTCCTCTGCAGCAGCCTCCCTTTTCCCAGGTTTTCAGTTGCTGATAACATTTTCTAACACTATGACCTTTGGCCTCCCTTCCTCTGACAGTTGCTCCCAGTTGAGTTTTACCTCTGTTATCCCCTGCCAAGGAAGCTATTTCAACACTTGTGGGATGAGCCTGTGGCTTTTGTTACTCTTGTGCTGATTATTAACAGTTAACAGGAGGGGTGCCTGGTGGGGGGGATGCTCAGTCAGCAGAGTGTGTGACTCTTAATCTCCGGGTCATGAATTCGAGCCCCGTGTTGGGTGTAGAGATTATTTTTTAAAAATTAAAATTAAAATTTTAATAAAAATTAAAACTAAAAAAGTTAAACATTTAATATGATCGTCTTTCAGTTCTGTTTTCTGGGTTCTATTTTATGGCCTATGAGGAATGACACTTTGTATAATCTACTTTCAAGGCACAGAATTTGCTGACAAGTTTCAATTCTACATGAATCGATAGTAAGACTGAATTTTGACTACTGAACAGTTCAAATATACACCTGAAAGCTTGGGAAGAATTAAAACTCAGTGTGTGGAAGTTGAAGGAGGGGAATGGGTACTGGTGGCCTTTCTGGGGCTGCCAGAGTAATACAGAGACTGACATTTCAAGGGTGTGTCTCATTAACTTCCTCCCCCTCTGGGCCCCAGCTTGGCCCAGAAGGATGGTGGAACTCCATGAAGAATCTTACTTCTCAGAGGTCAGGAGGATCATACATCCCCAGGGCCCACACCCAGGCTTATTCACTGAGCTGTCCCTGGCAATAACGCCATAAATATCAGAGTGACCCTACATCCCGGTTTCCTGGTACGCACCTGTTGTCTTGGCGCAATTACTATGAGCATCCTTGTCACTCTAAGAAATGTCCATGTCTGGAAGAGAAAATATGTGGTCACCTTCCCCAGAGTCATGAAATTGTCCATATCCTATGACTCTGCTCATTCAGTTCCTGACCCACCCCTCAACTACTGAATTACCCCACACCCTTCCTATGGGTGGGGGGCATCTTCCCCAGGAAGCCAGGGTATGGGCTTTAGACAGCCCCCAAGATCCTGGCCCCGAACTCAGGGCTATGCTTACCTTTCTGGGCCCTGCTTTTAACGTGTTGTCATTTCTACTTCTATTGTTGTTGCTTCACCCTTTCATTACTACAGGTAAATTTTGTCTTGGAATTTTAATATTCTTGCCTAAACAGCCCCCCGGCTCCTCTCCCTGTACTTTGATCTGATATACATTATTAATCCTATGTTTCAGACTTGCCAACCAGAAAAATTCAGTTCCCCAGTCAATTAATAACTGTTTGCCAGGGATGTTGACTTTGAGAGAAAATGAAATTTGAGTATTTCTAATAACCCATTTAACTCCAAAATGTTATGGCATTAAATGCCTAAAAGAACACAAGGAAATATGATAGTCAGGGACTGAATTGTGTACCCCCCAAATTTATACAGTGAAGCCCTAACCCCAAATGTGACTATTGGGGGATAGGGCCTTTAAGGGATAATTAAGGTTAAGCAAAGTCATGAGGATGGGGCCCTAATCCATATGACTGGTGTCCTTGTAAGTAGAGGAAGAGACACTAACGATGCTGCCACTCAGAGGAAAGACCACATCAGGACACAATGAGGAGATGGTATCTACAAGCCGTGGAGAAGGGTCTTAGCAGAAACTAAACCCACCGACACCTTGATCTTGGACTTGCCGCCTTCAAAACTGCGGGAAAATAAATGTCTGCCGTGTAATCCTCCCAGTCTGTAGTATTTTGTTATGGCAGCCCGAGCAGACAAGTGTAAGATCCACTTCTTTCTCACTAATTGTTTACCATCCACTCATGGTTTTCAGACACAGAAAAAAAAAAAAAAAAAGGTAGCCAGGAAATACTCTGGGCCTTTTGTAGCTTTCTTGGTGCATGACTTTCACCTTCTTTAATGTCATCTTTAGTCCCTGTCTTGGACCGATCTTTGCAAAACTGCTATATGTCAATTTTGTGTCTTTGTGTTCTGTTGCTATTGGTCAACCAAGAGCCTTGGAATTACATGGACAACTCCCAATATGCTAACCTAGGATTCCCTGTTAATTCCCTGTCCACATGAAATCACTCAAGCCCCACAAATCCCGCTCTGTGGGGGCTGCCAGGAGTCCTGTCCAGGGCCCCTGGAGGTCTGAAGCCCTCGTTCCCCAGCTGCTGGCATATTGGCAGTTCAGGCTTTCTCCTTCAGAAGATAGCAGCCTCACTCAAGGTATACCCCACGCCAAGGGCAGCCTCTGCTCCCTTCTCCTTCTCCTCCTACAGTCTCCATGTTTCCGCTGCAACAGGCTAGGGACACATCCACGCAGGGCCTTGTCTTAGCTGGTCCCTTCGTGGGAATGTTCTCCAGCTATGTACATGGCAAACTTCCTCCCTTCCTCCAAGTCTCTGCTCCCATCTCTCTTCTCAGTGAGACCGTCCCCAACTACCAGCACAATCCTATAACCTGCCCCACTCCACTTTACCCCAATGTGCCTGGCTCTCCTTCCTCCCCCATTATTTCTAATCTACTGTGTAGTTTTCATGTTTGCTGTCTCCCTCTACTAGCAAGGCAAGAGTCTGTTTTGTTCACAGATGTCTTCCAGGCACACAGTGGGTACACAAGAAACCTTTGTTGAATTTGTGTGACAAATTTTTCGTCAGCTTAAGCAGGGATGTGACTTCATTCTTCATAGGATCTAACTCCTTAACATCAGAAAAAGCCATGAAAAAGAATATGTTGTCTTCTTTACACATTGGAGACCTTATGCTGCCTCAGAAAATTCTGAGTCTCAAGGTCAAATGCCATAAAAGCAGTGCCATACTCCCTAGCATATTCGACAACTATGACGTCGTTTTTTTTATACTCCCTTAACTATAAACAACAAAATTATTTTCAGTAATTACCAAAACTAATTCTGTGTTTGTACTTAACTTTGTATTTGTCTGCTTGATTCCTTCTTTAGTTTTAAAACAACTAACAATGAAAAAAATAATAAATTTTCATTTAAAGACAGAATTCAAACTCTGTAAATACATCATGTGGGAACCAAACAAAAACATTAAGTCCAGCCCACACTCAGGAGGGAGAAAGTGGGATCCACATATTGAAGGGAGGAATATTGAAGAATTTGTGGACATATCTTTGCCACATATGGAAATTATTTGGAAGCAACACATAGATTCTGGAGAGAGAAGTATTTTATCCCTGATGTTTAGAACTGCTGGCCGAAGTGGGTAACAAAAGGCAACCATCTTTTATTCATTTTTATTATGTTTTCACATCACATCCTTCACAATTGACCCTTTGCCTTTACTCAGGCAGAAGACACCCCCTTCACTGCGGTTGGTAAACCATGGAATAGAAGGAAAACATGGGTGTAGAAGATGTAAGATGGGTTGAACTGTGTCCTCCTCCAAAAAGGCATGTTGAAATCCTAACACTCAGTGCCTCAGAATGTAACCTCATTTGGAAACAGGGTCATTGCAGAAGTAGTAAGTTAAGATGAGGTCATGTTGGAGTAGATGGCCCCCTAACCCGATATGGCTGGTGTCCGTGCAAGAAGAGGCGACACAGAAACACAGACACGCAGGGGGAGCACTCCTTGGTGTTCTTACAATGATGCATCTGGAGGCCAAATGATGCCAAGAATTGCCAGTGACCACCAGAAGCCAAGAGAAGGGCATTTTTCAAAAGAAACCAACCCTGCCAACACCTTGATTTCCGACTTCTAGCCTCCAGAATTGTGAGGTTAAATAATTTTCTGTTAGTGTAAGTCATCCAGTTTGTAGTCCTTTGTTATGACAGCCCGAGCTTTGCTATGACATGTAGCTTTCCAGAAAAATCTGCAGTCGCCATTTTGTCACCTGAGCTACTCAGCATGGGAACACCATTCCTATGAAACTGAAGAGAAGCTATTCCCTTTTCCCATCCCCCAAAACTGCATTACGGACACCTCACCCAAGTGTGACAAGTCAGATTCTCCCTCTGAGACTCTGAATCTTGAAAGAGGTACTAAGTCATCAATTTGTGATTGTGGCAGTGGCTGTGGCAGTAGAGGAACACTGCAGCCAATGTGCCAAGACAGTTACGCCAGCCTCAGTTCTCAGCGGACCATGCCTGTGCCAAGTTCTTGGCTTGGTCTTTTCCATGACTGCAGGCTTCCTATTGAGTCTGTGAGCTCATAACCCTCTAGAAAATTCCATCTCTGCTTAAGTGAACCAGAGTCAACTTGTATTATTTGTAACCAGGAATCCTCACTAAAACACCCTGGAAGTGGGTTTTTAAGCCAAATGCCTATTGTAGTTTGGTTTCTTGTATTTACCTATTTCTTTCCTGCTGTAAAACTTTCTGCATTCACTCATTCATCCATCAGATGTTTACTGGTTGCCTTGATAGCCCCAAATAGTAGGTGTTTGGAAAACATGGCCTATTAAGACATGACCCCTATCCTTAAAGAACTACAGCCTAGTCCAGGGTAGAACAGTCAAGAAAACAGAGGATTATGATACAGAGTGGTAAGTGCTATGGTCAACAGAAAAGGTACCTAACTGATACATGGGGAGAGGAAGGAAAGTTTCCTTGTAGCCACTGATTCCTGAACTGGATCTTGAAGGATAAACGAGATGCCTTGGCAAAGCAAAAAAGGGAAGAGGAGGGACATTCCACTAAGTGGAGGGAACTTTGCAGATCAGAACACTACATTATATATATGAAACTCTAGGTATAGAGTGGTAAAAGTTGAAACTGTATTTGGACTTTATTCCAACAGCAACCTACAATCACTACACTAGAGAGAAAGCAACCAGTTTTATATTTGAGATTGATTTTTTTCTGGCGATAGGGCCAAGAATTAATAGGAATGGAGCAGGATTGAAAAGTAAGAAGACCAAATGTGAAAGTCCAAGTCATCTGGGAGATTTCAAAAAGGCAAAGGCCAGAATGGGGAGGGCAGCAGATGGCAAAGATGGGAAGGATAGGACAGACTCGAGATGAATGGAGGTATTCTGAACTCTCTGCTTGCAGTAAGCAGGGCACCTCTAGGAGGACACAGGCCACTTGTCTTGTTCATCATTGCCCAACGCAGTGTCTAACACACAGAGGCAATCAGTACATTCGGATCTGCCTTTAAGTGCAATGGTTCTTTTCTTGGCCATGTTCAGTTTATTGTGGAGTCCATCAAAGGCACTCTTCATTTCTGTTACAGTGTTTTTTATTTCTAGCATTTCCTTCCAGTGCTTTCTTAGAGTTTCCATCTTGCTGCTTTCCTGACTCAACTGTTCTTATAAGTTGTCTACTTTTCCCCAAATAGCTCTTAAAATATTTATTGTAAGTATTTTAAATTGCTGGCCCAATAATTCCAATATCTCTGCCATACTTGCATCTGGTTCTGATGTGCTTCAGATTGTGTTTTTGCTTGCCTTTTAACATGCTTTGCAATTTTTTTGCTGAAAATCATATGTGATGTGTCAGGTAATAGGAACTGACATCAACAGGCCTTTGGTAAGAGCTTTCCTGTTAATCCAGCTAGGGTTTTAGGCGGTCTTTAATCTCTGTTATAGCTGCAGGTGCCAGAGGCCTCAAAGTATATAGGGTCTGTGCCTTACAGCTCTTTCAGTTACGATCCACTTCGGTTTTACTGGAGCTCTGCTGGTGCTGGTCAAGTGTGGGCAAAGGGAAATGCTCTTATGTAATCTTGCAATTAAATATCATCAGTCCTTTAGTGGACCTGTGTTCCTAGGCTGTGACCATTGCAAGTATTAAGTTTTTTTTTCCTTCCCTCAGGTGAGACAGGAAGGCTAGAGGGGGCTGGAAGCAGGGAAATGCCCTTCTCCAGGTAGGACAGTCCCTTCCCTTATAAAATAGGCCTTTGTTAAAGAATGCTCTGGACATATTTTTTTTAATTTACATATTTGAGAGAGAGAAAGAGAGCACAAGTGGAGGGAGGGACAGAGGGAGAGGGAAAAGGAGAGGGAGAAGCAGACTCCCTGCTGAGTGTGCTGATGCTGGGCTCTGATCCCAGGAGCCAGGAGCTGAAATCAGACACTTAACCGACTGAGCCATCCAAATGCCCCTAGGCATAATTTTAAATGGTAAATATTCCCCTTCCTCTGCCAGAGCCATATGGGGATCATTTTTGGCTCTTCATCCTGAAAACCTGGTGAGGTTTTTGGAGATAACCCCCCCCCCAAATGGGGCAGATACCAGGAATTTCTTACTCTCAGGCCAGACTATACCGGGCTTCCAGGAATTTATCCGAACGGTCAGTTAAGTGTTCCCACCAGTTTATGGCTCTAGTGTCTTCCTTACAGATAAGATCTTGGTTGCAACTCTGGATTGGCATGTCTCTCCAGACTGTGGGATGTAGCTCCGCCCTCTGACCTCCATCTCCGCTGGGTTCAAGAGAAGACATTTTCAGCTTGTTCAGCTGTTTTTGCTCTAAGGATGGGAGTGATGACTTGCAAGCTCTTTACACATTGGAGCTGAAACCAGAACTCCCTCAGTACATTCCTGTTGAATGAATAAAGCACGGTAAAAGGTGTGAATAAGCATTTGTGGAGGGAATGTATTAGAGAGAGGAGTCAAGGATGAAGCCTGGGTCTGGCTGGTGTGAGAAGTGGAACACTAGATAGGGAATATAGTGGGGCAGCAGATATTTGCAAAAGGGAAATTAAAAAGAGAAAACAAAAACAAAAATAAAACCCTTAACAGAGATTTCTGCAGAGCACCTAGGTGGCTCAGTCGGTTATGCATCTGACTCGGGCTCAGGTTATGATCCCAAAGTCCCCGGATGGAGCCCTGGCCCACATTGGGCTTCCTGCTCAGTGGGAAATCTACTTCTCCCTCTCCCTCTGCTCTTTCTCCCTGCCACCCCTGCTCGTGCTCTCTCTCTCTCCCTCCCTCTCTCTAATAAATAAATACAATCTTAAAAAACAACAAGAGTTCTGCTTAGTTCTGCATACTTGCTCTGATTACCTTTCCGCACTTTACACATCTATTATCAGAGTTATGGTGGGAAGAAATAAAGTAAACCATAATCCAGGAGCTCAGGATTGGTGTGAATGCTGGCAAGACAACTTTTTTATATCTCCTTTCATTTGAAGATACCCATGGGTGCGGCCCCCCATCAGTGTCAGCCAAGGTGGTGCGACTACCCTGTTTTTGTAACCTCTGGAGTGCAACGGCCTGGAGGTCACCGTGGTAAGACCTGAGGGACCTGGGAGCAGCCTCAAACTAGAAAGATAAGACAGTACACTTTACCGCCTGGGGCACAGGCATGGGTGGGAGGCTCTCCTGCTGGCAGCTCCTTCTTAAACTTCTTAACTACCTTCTACACTCCCCCTTAAAAACTCCATTCATTTTCTGTCTAAAAAAATAATGGAGGAAGGACCTTCAGCAGCAGGGTGGGAATTCCCAGGAGGATCCTTCCCACCTCTCTGTGAGCACAGCACTACCAAACAGCAAATACAGTGTGGGAAGAATAACACAGTCACTCACTTTGGCTTCAGTTGTCTTACGGGTAGACTTAAAAGTGTGGACTAGAGGGTTTCACATTCTTGGAGTCTCCACTGTTGTGTGCTTCTGGTTTTCAAGAGGTTGACCTGGGCAACCTGAAAGTTCACCCTGGCTGCTCCATTCATTTGACAATAGGTAGTTCTCATTCTTGAGGAACTTTTCTGGAGAAAGAACTCTTGATTGCCTGTCAGGAGTTGGCTTCCATCCTGTCTTATCTTGGGTCACCTGCGACAGGCCTAGGATGTCAGTTTGCCCTGTGGTTGCTGATTCAACTCTGAAGCTATAGTACTTCTTGGAAAGGAATCAACTTTTGAGAGTTCTGAGGGCTTTTTTTTTTCATAAAGCTTTGTAACAAATGTAGGTGATTTTTGCATGTTTTGTTTTTTTAAAATAATTTCCCTCTCATTTCTTTTTCAATAAATTCTTTAAAAAATAAATTCTGATTACAAGAGTACGTGCTCGTTGTTAAAAATGTGGAGAATACAGAAAATTACACCATCTGTGATACTGAATACATAATAAAAATTGTTAGTAATCCTATCATTCAGAGATAATTGCTATAAACCTTGGTATGTTATGTTATGGGCTTTTTTCTCTACATTCACATGTATACTTACATTTTTTTACAGAAAATTATAATATACTCCTTTTAATTTCCTTTTTGTCTCAATGCTATAGTATAAAAAATTTTCCATGTATTTAAATATATATAATTAAATATATAAATATATATTCCGTGCAAATAAATATATATAAATTAAATTTATATATGTAATAAATATATATTAAATATATATATACTTATACACACACATATGTATACACACTGTACTAGCCTTTCTATATACACCATTATATATATGCACTATTCCTCTATTATTTTATTCAAACAACATAGTAATAGTTGCATAGTGTTATATATTTGGGACTTTTCAAATTATGAACAACCTTGTAAAAATCCAAGGAGCTAAATTTCTCTATCAATTTATTATTATTTTATGAATAGAACTTGCTGGGCAGATAATGTGGATCTAAAACATTAATAATTTTAGTGCATTTTATTAAATGATTTTTCTGAAAAAAAAAAAAAAAAAAAAAAAAAAGAACTTTAGCCATTGACTTTTCACCAACAGTGTACAACAATGTGTTCCTTTTGCCTCAGACTGGTCAGATGAATTTTATCTTAAAAATAAAACCTTTGCCTATTTTGAATGTGGAAGATGACATTTTAATTTTTATCCTAGGATGAGTATATTTGATTACTGGTGGGAATGAACATTTTCCCCCCTCTTTTTCTGGTAAAGAATAACATTTCAGATAGAATTACAATTAGTTTTGAAGTTACACATTTTAGACTGGTTTTATGAATAAAACCTTTTCATTTCTGTCATTATTACATAATATGTTTGAATATTGTTTGTAACCACAGTTTGCTGAGTACTCTGGTACATATTTCTTTTAAGTGATTCAGGAAGAAAGCATGTAGTCATAAACTCAGTCCCTTAGAAAAGTAAATATATCAGATAATTATTCTCTGTGATTCACAAGGGCAGATTTTGTGTACAGTTTCACAACTTGGGAGCACTGAACAAAATCATCTCAATTCATTCATCTGACAAAGATTTACTGAGTTCCCACCACTGCTGTAGATGTGGACAGTCTTGCATGAGTCAGTCATGGTTCTATGCTTACAATTCCAGTGCAAGGAATAGATGACCAAAAAAGGGAAACATACAAATAAATAAAGTAATACAGAATGTGAAGTCTTAAACAAGAATCTGTTGAATTGGAGCATAGCAGAAGAGAACACACTTTACTAGTGTGGCAGGATGCTCAGAGAGGACTTCCCTAGGATGACATTCAAGTTAACACCTAAAAGAGACGTGTGATAACCCTGATGGTAGGAAGGAGTTCAAGGGCACAGAGATGGATAGTGGCCAGATCATTTGGGGCCTTGCAGGGTACAGCAAGGAGGGTGAGCTTTGTTCAGAATTCAATGGGGAAGCCAATGAAGGGTTTCAGGCAAGAAGATGGCGTGATCCTTCATCTATCTTAAGATGATCGTGCTTTGTTGCTATGTGTAGAATAAAGAGTAGAGGTGGAGTGCTTGAGTAAGATTCTGTTGCAGCAATGTAGATGAGAAACTATGGGGGCCTGGGGGAAGAAGCTGGACACAGGAGGAAGAATAATCCTAGAAACATGGAGTCACACATGCATGAATTTAACTGACTCTGCTGACTCCAAATCCTTCCCATATCCAACCTCATTAAACATGGGACTGACTTCTCTTAAGAGAGGAAGATGGCAGTTGCTCTGTGGGGTCACAAAAGGAAATGCCAACTGGAAGCAGTCACCAGGTTCTTCCCTATAATTTCTCAAACATGGTAGGATGTGTGTCTTATTAAACAAGATTTAGATTCAAATCCAAACATCACTGAATACCCACCAACTGTCAGACTGTGTTCTAGAAGCTTTCACATATACCCTATTTCACCTGCTATGACTGAAAATAAAGCCATGCTTAAGTTACCACATAAATAAAGGAAATTTGATTTACGAGAAACCCATTCATTATTCTCTGAGCGCTCCCTTCCTTGGAAAGTAAGACCCCTTGCATGCATACTTTGTCCAAATGAGTCAGTCTTGTTTACTTCTGTTACGCTGAAAAAAAAAATTGAGAAGTCTGATCTGACTGCCTAAGTTTCTCACTTCTGTTTTTGTGAGGCTGGTACAGAAAACAGTACAACCAGCTGTCACACCTAAGGACCTCCAGCCACTGCACAGACCCAATTACAACTCAAGTGACAAATATTTTCATGTACAGAAAAACAACCATTTTTCTTAAGGAACCCCAGGGTCCAAGATGGTGAGTGAGAACAGGATATAACACCATTACTTTGCTCTCAGTTGACCTTCCCCTAAGATCAGGCAGGCCCTGGCATTGGCCTGGCTTTCCAGCCCATCCCTTTCCCTCCACCTCTACCAACACTATCACCATTATGGTGGATTTCTTCTTGAGGGCCATTATTGTCCATTTCTAACACTTAGCTTATTCTGAACCATCCCAGCACATCAAAAGGGTTACCATAACTTGAAACACCAAAGGGAAAGAGCCAGGATTTCTGACTGATTAGGGAAATCCTTAGTCCCTTTGTTAAGATTTACAAGAAGAGAATATCTGTTTTGGACATTTAAATCTATGCAGTGGCTCTTTAAAATAGCAGGTGGAAACTCTGGGTGTCAAGTTCAAGAGCAGCGGATGAGCTTGAGATTTGGCGGTGATGGCTGTCTTGGTAGTTGAGTCACAAGTGAGGATGTGACTGAATGCGGAGAAGATCTGAGGAAGTGGACGTATAGTACAGTTTGAGAAGCAAGCCCGCCAAGGAAGCTGAGAAGGAGCTCTTAGGGTGGTAGAAAGATACAAATGTGTCATGGACCCCAACAGGAGAAAAGATTTCAAGAAGGAATTTGTTCTACAGCATCCAAGATAACAGAGGTCAAGAAGCCAAGGACTGAAGTCAGGTTATGAATTTCTCGGATATATAAAACTTATTCAGGTCTGTTTTGGCATGTTATTGATCAAGGTTATATGATCGGATTACATTCCTTTTCAACAATTTGTGCTTGGAATTGTATAATTAGACTTTTATCAGCACAGTACTGACAATCACCTGCTAAGTAGTAATGGGTATAATGAAGGTCATTTCATCACATCTTACTCTGCTGATTTTACCAGAAGTGAAAAAGCTACTTTCCACTTAAAAGATTCTGTTTTGGTTTTGCCACTTTTCTATGGCACTGCCCTGTACAGCATGGGTTCTTCTGAATTCGGTATATCTATTCACATATCACGTAATGACCCAATTCTCCCACACTTTTTCCCAGAATACTATGAAAACATTTTGAACAACATGATAGGACATAGTCTGGTCTCTACTTAGCTTGGGCATATCATTTATATATTTAGTTCACTTCTTTTCTCTTGAGTCTGACATTATTAAAGTACTTCTTGTTGGACCCAATGTGATCATAAGCAGAAATACAAATGCACGTGATTTCAAGTGTCAATTTCAGAATATGCTTACATTAAAATTTCTAGGTTCACTGAACTGAAAACACAAAAATTCAAAATCCTCCTGGAGACCAGGTGACTCATGTTTCAGAAACACGGCCAGGGAGATTATGCCCAATCAATGGACCCTCCTCCTTTCATGCCTAGACTATTTTTGATTTCTGTCTTTAAGGGAAGAAGGCTTGAGTGGGAACCCATGAGGGGCAACAACAGCAGTAGGTGAATAACAATTACTGGTCTGTGATGATATCCATAGACTTTGTTTTGAATCATTTTTACTCCTTTCATATATTTTCATCTTTCCTAAAAAATAAATGACCATTTCTTTGGTAATTAACTAGGGTGTGTTAACTTTTTTTGTTTCATCCTCAGCACCTAGTAGAGTGACAGATTCCAACTGAGAGTTGGTACACACTCAAGCACTTTATATTATTTGGGGCGGAGGAGGAAAAAGGCTCGCATAACAAAAATGATCACATTGAGATATGCAGTGGAGAGTAAATTAAGAAGGCCTGGCTCTCTCCATGTGTAAGAGCAGGGACAGCAAAGTATGGAAGTACATTGACTGCTAATTGTTCCTGCCCATAAGACAGAGCATCTCTTAAATGCCTTTTCCTTTCTATTGATTTTCATGAGAAATCACGGCCTTGGGGACAAGGACAGCATTAGAGCTAATTGCTGACATTACTTCCTCTTTCTGAGTCTATGATGGGATTTCACTTTTTCACATGGCCCTGTGGCTTGTTTGGGCCAATCAAATGTGAGCAGAAGTGGTATGTATCATTTCCAGGGGGAAATCTGTAAAAGCTGGTATCAGATTCACCATATTCTGTTTTCTCTGCCTTGATGCCAGTGATGATCTTAAGATGATGGCTTCATCAATCTGCATCCATGAGTAGAAGTGATAAGGAGTAAAGTTTTCCAGTGACTGAAGATGGACAGGAAAATCAAGAGATATGCCTTTGTTGTTTTAAGATACTGAGACTTGGGACATGACCTTGACCTGCTTGATTTTATAGGCCAATCACCTGAAGTGGTCATTTTCCTCCTATTTCAACAAGAGGGTCTAAGTGGGCTAAAACCATTAGGAAGTGGATATGGCTAGCATGAAAAATAGATATTTTAGTGGGAGAATGAGATTATGCTGCGCTTTACAATTCTGAAAAGCATTTTTGCATAAGTTATTTCATTTCTTCTCTCTTGTGATCTTGGAAAGTCATCAGATTTCTACCTCTCCCTTCTGGACCAACACTCCTTGGACAATCGGCTGCTCTCCCTGCCCATCCCACTTCTAATGTGCCCCTAATTTAGCACTTAGTACAGTGTACTGCAATTTTAAAATATAATGTCTTCCTAAGAAACTGTGTTCTCTTCATTTTTGTGTACCTTCTCTCCAACCAACACCCATGCCTCCCTATTTCATACTCATGACAAGAGCTTCATAAATGCGCACTTGAAGAAGCTAAGAAGTGGCAGGTCCAAAGTTACAAGTAGCAATCAGGATTCAAATCTAAGACTTCCTACTCAACATTCTAGTGACTTAACTATCATTTACTTAGCACCAAGGAAAAGAGCTCTGACCTCTAGATACTGACCTTGATGTTGCTATGAGCTCCTTCGGACCACCACCTTCTGTGGACTAAAAAAAGATTTCACAGAATAACATCAAAGCCATTCAATCACCATGGTCAAGACAAAAACAAGACCACTCCACAATCTTGTCTGAACACAGATCAGGAACATTGCTTAAACTACAAAAATGACCAAAACTGTCTACTACAAGCTGCTTCTCCATCAGTTATGGCTTTAACCTCCAACTAGCGTTCACTACTTCTAAGGATTAAAGATACCCAATCACAGAATCATCCCCAGGTCTTGACACCATCCAATACAGTGCCAGGCTTCGCCTTCTTGAACGCTTTCCACGGTCGCATAAGCCCAAATTCCGTAACCAATTCTAACACCGTTACTGAGATACCCCATTGTTCCCCATTATGCCTGCCTCCTCCTCACCAGAACTAATCGAACTTCAAGTGTGTTCTGGTGGGCTTGTTGGAAGACATGCCCAGTCCCTCCCTTGCTCCAGGGCTAGGCTGTACACACACATGTTGAGGGTTTCATCGGAAACCCTCATTAGGTGTAGGATTGTGACTCCCACTTGATAAAGAAATGGAGGTCCAAGGACATGAAATAATTTGCACCAGCTCACACCACCTGGAAGAACCAGAGACCATATTTCAGACCCTTTGCGAGGAGCACTCTCTTTCCCCCACCCTCCATGGAAGCTCCCCATCTTCTGCGTTTCTTAGGGTACTTGCCCTGCGACCCGGATGCTACGGGGAACTGCACCCCAAACATGTTACTTTTGCAACTGGTCTGTGTGAAAAATGATATCCCGGCCCAGAGGCGTTTTCCCACTGCAGAGCCCTGGAGGGAGCCGCTGTAGCGGCCCAGCTGCCAGCAGCCGGGAGCTGGCAGCGGGGAGACGCGGGATCAGCCTGGGCCTCCGGGGGCGGGCTCACGAGAGTGACGTCGAGCGGACCAATCCCCGCGAGGGCGCCAGCTATGGGGCCCAATAGCAGGAGAGCCTGGCGGGACAGTGACAGCAACGCCGGCAGCAACGCCGGCACCCCAGCGGCCCCGCCTTGACGGCGGGCGGTGGTGTTCGGCGGGCGGGGGCAAGTCTCTACGGAGCACGGGACCGGCTGCGGACCCACAGACCCACCCGCCGGCCCCCGGACAGACTGAGCACGGCGCGGAGAGCAGCCGCCGGTGCCTCCCGCAGCTCCCTGGGACCGAGTCCGCAGGGCCACCGAGGAGCCGAGCGACGGCTGCGCAGAGAACTGTCGCCGAGGCCACTCTGGACGCAGGAGTGCGCTTTCAGGGGTTTGCTTTAGAATGGGAGCTTGAGTTCCCCCGACAGGTGCATTTGGTCGAATTCAACGGAAATTCCCCTCCCCGTCCCTGCGCGGCGGTGCCGATCCGGCCCCCCACCCAGACAGCGGTCAGTGTCCCCGGGGCGTCCCGGGCTGCCTCGGCCTTGGGAGCATTTGCTGCTGGGGGGTGCCCTGGAAGCACAGAACACCCCCCCAAAGAGAAGACAGCCCCCAGAGAGCCCGGGACCCCAAAATGACCGGACCCGCTTCTAACCTGGCAGGAAGACTGTAACCGTGGGGTGAGTTTAAACAAGAGGAAAAAAATCCCTTTACGGATTGAGAGCTGCTTTTTAAAGGCCCCCTTCCTGTCCTGTTAACGAGCCGCAAAATAACAATAACAGTTGCGCAACTGTCGTGATCTCAGAGGAACCTCTCTGTTTCCCTTAAGAAAACCGGCTGGCAGTATACAGTGTGGGGACTGTAGTGAGATTATTCCAAACGAAAATGAGTGACAACTTATTAAAACTATTTTAAGGTGGCATGAGTCCTAAAAGGTCATAACTCTTAAAAATAGTAAGTACGACAGTCTGAGGTTTACTGCTACCCTATTCCAAAGTAAAAATTAATCTCTTAGTAAGTGCTTACTGCTTTCTGCTCCCTAGTTTGCCTGTTTACTCCACAAAATTCCTCTAACATCCCCGTTCTTTTTCATAGAATTCAGCTACCTACCCAGGCAATATGAAGATTTTCTTTGTAGAACCTGCCATTTGCCTTAGTGCATTTGCTATGACTTTGACCTCTCCACTGACAACACAGTATGTGTATAGGAGAATATGGGAAGATACAGGCAACTACAGTTTTGTATCTGATAGCAATACTTCTGAGTGTGGAAAAAACAAAAGCAGCCCCATTTTCGCATTCCAGGAGGTAAGAAATTAAGCTATCCCTGAAGCGTAATAAAAGGGGAATGTGTAATGGGGTTTTCAGTGAAAGAGGGCATTGCGCTCATCATTCGTTGATCTCTCAAGAGTCATCTCAAAACTCTAAAATCCCAAGTCAAGAGCCTTTATTCAGTTCTGTTTGAAGTTTCATGACACCTTGAATCTGCTTCTTCTAAGATCTCCTTCTTCTGTGACATTGGCTGTTTTCTGAGAATATTTCATCCTAATCTCATCTCCCCAGTGGCTGTCCCCTTTCTCCCTCCACACCCCCCACCCCAGCCCCCCAAAAGCCTGAAGGTTGGACCAAGGCCAGCTGGAAGGAGTACTGGTTGGCCTCAGTGGAGTCAAACAGGGTGCTTCTGCTTTTCCTCTTCTACTGCATGTACGTGACCCCCGGAATGTAGCCCATCACTGAACACTGTGGGCCCTGGGGCCAGTGTCCATCATGGGCTGGTCAGGAGGCAGCATATGTCATTCCTCATTTATTGTTACCAGATCAGCTCTGACTCTCAAATATTGAGGATGAGGTTATCTGTGGAGGAGAGCACTCACTTTGGTGCTGAGGGCACTGAAAATGTTTAGCCAGATACTACAGAGCCTTTCCTTCTGCCTCTCTAGCCTCCTCCCCCCAATTTTTATTTAAAACAGGAGGTACATCGCCATTCTCCTGCTCCCTCAGACAGTTTTTATCAAAGTCTGCCAGTGTTCAGATGCAAAGGCGAGGCATTCAGATTTGGAATTCCCCCCCCCCCCCCAGAAAGCCTTAAAAGCAGACCACACTTAAAATGTTGAACTGTTCCCCTAGAGTAATGGCAAAAGAGAGCCTTCCCAAATCAAAGGACAAGAAGAATTTAAGGGAATTCAGATCACCTGCCAGCTGGCCCCAAGATTTTCTCCTCAGCAGAAGAGAATTCAGGTGTGACTGGAAGGTGAGTCTGAGACCTGGAAGAAGTGGCAAAGGGCCCAGAAGGAAGGCTCTAGCATTTCCTGAGGTGTTCCCCAAGGTGTCAGGTATAACCTCACTGGGCTGAGGCCTGGCTGTGTGACACAGCTTCTGCTGTTCCTCATTTTCTCCTTTCCGTGGGAGAAATTTTCTTGGAACTGATAATTACTGGGAAGCCATGCAGAAATCAAGGTTCTGGCCTAAAGTGAGGTCATAGAAATAGAAGGGCCAAGGGTCTTACCTCATGGTTTTGTCTCCTGACTTCAAGAATGTTTATCATTCCCAGGGAGTGAAAAGGTTCAAAAGTCTCATCAGTTTCTATATTGGATTCTGTGCTTTCCTTCAACAGATACCCAGGAGCAATGGGAGGGACAAAGGGGAAGAGGACATGAATGTCTGGAAAAAATCTCCCATCCTTGCCCTCCTAGAGTAAACAGAGACAGGCTGTGGTTCAATCACCTTGGTGGCCTCTGTGACTGTGCAGGTCTCATGACTATTGTGGCCTTACCTAGTTGCTGAGAGCACCCCCACTCACTGCCCAGAGCAGTGGTCTCATCTTGAAGATTTTTGCTGATGTTTGTTATTTTATTAATTGTTTTTTAATTAGACTAGTATTCAAGAGAACATACTGCTCTAGATCCCCTCCCTTAAAGTCAGTGCTCTAGAGCTACAAGTGCTTTTTCTTAGACTGGGGGGCTAGAAAGCACCACCGTCTCCACCCATAACCAAGACAGGTCAGGTGGGCCACTCACCATTAGCTCCTCAGGAAGGAGGAACACTTCTGCTTCCCAGGAGGCACCACCATCACCTTCAGCACTTCCTTCTGGCCCCTTTTCTGGACCCTGCTCCTGCTCAGTATAAGAATATTCTCTTACCTCAGGCGGCTGGGTGGCTCAGTCAGTTAAGCATCTGCTTTGGACTCAGGTCATGATCTCAGGGTCCTGGGATCCAGCCCTTGCTCAGTGGGAAGTCTGCTTCTCCCTCTCCCTCTGCCCCCCACTTGTGTTCTCTCTCTCTCAAATAAATAAATAAAATCTTAAAAAAGAAAAGGTTATTCTTTTACCTTTAAATCCAAGGACAAATGCTCCCTGTTTTATGAATGTCCTTCTCAATTCCCAGCTCTGCTTGGTGGGTGCTGACCAATTGCTGACTAAAAGAAGTTTAGGAGTTTGAGAACTGTTCTTATAACCCTAAAAACAAAATTTCGTAATACAGGGTCAGGCCCTAATAAAATAAATAAATGATTTTTTTTGGGGGGGGGTTCAGGTTTTTCTTTGCCACTCCCCCAAAAGACCAATTACTTATAAGAAGAGTGCATAACACAATAATGTATTGAACTTCTTACTGTTATACCATTATTTATTTATCCTTCTATAAAACAAATATACACATGGACACATGTATTGGAATGCAAGATAATAATATACATTCAGGGTTCAGATATAAGAATAAACTGGGCCATTTCACTTAACATTTTGAAAGTCTGTATGAATAGAAGTTTTATTTTTCAATTCATTGGGATTGAGATATAGATACACTCACACATATACATATCCATATAAATATTGATCTAGTCTATTTTTCAAAACTTTGAGTTTTCTGAGTCTTGCGACTATAAGGCACACCCACATACTTCTCTTGGATAAGATTAGTCTCTAAAGGATGTCTTAACAAAATGGCAAGACTCTGGGAAGGAAATTCTTGGCTGAGGGAGAAGAGGTAGGGATTCTAGGCATGATTGTTGATTTTTGCAGAGGAAGGAATTTTTAAGCCCCTTCCCAGATTAACTGACTGGTTTTGAGGTATTAAATTGACCATTGTGGTCTGTTCTCTTCAGGTACTCTCAAAATAGGGACGCTGCTATTTGAGGGGACAAGTTGGCATTAACCAGATCATGAAGTTGTTCAGTAATTTATTTATAAACCTTTTTTTTTTAAAGAATTTTTTTAAAGATTTTATTTATTTATTTGACAGATAGAGATCACAAGTAGGCAGAGAAGCAGGCAGAGAGAGAGGAGGAAGCAGGCTCCCCACTGAGCAAAGAGCCCGATGCGGGGCTCGATCCCAGGACCCTGGGATCATGACCTGAGCCGAAGGCAGAGGCTTTAACCCACTGAGCCACCCAGGTGCCCTATTTATAAACCTTTTAATAACTAACACAATCCCTTATTACCAGCAGATAGGGAATATTTTCTACTGAATTGTAATTACACATTTTAACCTATGAAATTGTGACTTTTTAAAAACTGATACTCCTTTCCTTAAGTTATACCTGTCTCTATCTTGTCATTCCATTCAATCTTGACAGGAAATAGCACTTCTTACTCTGATTTCTCTCATCTACCCTTATCTAATATATAATTATTGTTCTCCAGAGTTTAAGAGGTATCGTTTGCAGACAGGAGACAGAAGCCAGGATGTGGGGAGGGGTGGAAATGGGAGGAGGAATCCCAAACTGGAACATCTTATTGACAAGTTTATTAAAGATAACCGTTTCATTTACTTCTTTATTCAGTAAGTATTTACTCAATGGCTTTTATATCAGTAGAGAAACAGAGATGTGCTCAGGAAGCCTGACCTAGTAAAAATGAAAACAGCTGAAGTTGATGAAGCACTAACGAATGTGCAACAGATCTGGGCCGTGTGCCTTATATTGACATAGTCACTCCAAATGTAACTCTCAGGAGAGCCTGCAAGATAGGGACTCTGGTTACCCCTCTTGTCAGATGAAGCTATCGGGATGAATGATTTGGTCAGGATCACACACAGCTAGCGAATCGCAAGGCCCATTTTACTTGCTTATTCATGTATCCATGCACCTAGTACCTAGGGCGCGCTCTGTGCAGCACTGCTGTTGGAATGGTGATACTGTGGTGAAGAAGACAGGGTTCCAGCCCTCCTGAAGCTTAGATTGTAGTGGAAAGGGCACCCAGTGAGCAGTTCAATTAAAGGAACCCGTCCTGTTGAGGGGTGGCAAGTCTCTAAAGAAAATACAGCCAGACAAGCTCACAGAGCGCCGGGTGAGGGTTAGTGTGGTTGCTCTGAATTGTGTGATTAGTCAGAAGGCTTCTGAGGAGGTGGCATTTGAATTGAGGAAGTGAGCTGTGTGACCAGCAGGCAAAGGGAACAGCAGGCACAAAGGCAAATAGCATGGGAGGTTTGAGGGATGGCATGTGGCTCAGGGGAGTGAGGAAGTGGAGATGAAATCAGAGAAGTCATGATGTCTGGCCACCCACACCATGGCAAGGAATTCGGATTTATTCTCGCATAAGGAAAGCCACTGGGGGATTTTGAGCAGAGGAGTGACATGGGCTGATTGTTTTTAAGGATCACTCTAATGTGACCTATGTGAAGAACTGATGACATCTGAATCTAGATTGATCTGACTCCAGAGCTCTTAATCCTTACGCCAAAGAGTATAACTGGGAAATTGCCATCTGAGAAGGTTCAACAGAAGGAGAGATTACATCTGTTTGGGCATTTCGGGGAAATCCAAGTGGGACTTGACTATGGACTGTGCCTGTAACATAGGGTACTGGGGGAGTGAGTGGAGATAATGCAAAAGAGTGGGGTTGGACCACATCTCGGTGGTCTAATGTAACAGACGAGGAATGTGAACTTTCTCCAGCAGCTCAGAGACATGCTGCTGGTGTGTTTTGGCAAGACGCTCCCACCATTAGCGTGTATGATGTGCGAAGTGAGGAGGCTGCCATCATAGACTGCACTGAGGAGAGAGCCAGCTAGATGCTGGGGTGAAAACTATGAGCCCTGCCCTTCCAGGGGCAGCTCTCAGACTGTGAAGAGGTAAAGGATGTGAGAAGCACTGGGTGTTGGTGGCCCTGGGTGAAGGGAAAGGCCAGAAACAATGATGACTGAAGTTTTGAGTCTGAGTGACAGAACATTCCCTGACCGTATGAAATTGCTTGCATTGTTTGACTATATAAAAATAAACGCAGGCTCACTCTTTAAAAAAAAAAAAAATCATTAATTTCAGTATTTGATGTTTTTGTGGTTCATCAGCTGTTTTAGGGTGCTTTCTAAATATTACATGAATCTATTTTTAAAAATGAGTTTAGTAATCCCTAGTAGAAAAATGACATACTCTTTATATAAAATTTGGAGGATACAGAGAAAAGTGGCAAATAGGACATGCTTTTAAACCACCCAAAATTCTTCCCACCAAATAACTAGTGTAATGATTATAATGTCTTTCAATCTGTGTGTGTAGCTGGTGGCTTTGGTCTTCGGCAGAGTCAGGTTTATCTTACTCCTCAGTTCAGTTCATGGCATGCTACCATCTTTAGTCAGTGCAAAGCTGCTCTTTGGGTTTTATCTTATTTTTTAGTAAGTAAAGAAATAGATTAGAAGAAACTTATTTGTGGAGACACATAAGAACAAAGCAACCAAATGCTTCCTAAATAAAGGTCTATCAAATATGATATTTATATGTGACACTCATTCGCCTTTAAGTAGACAGAAAAATCTATCACAGGAAAGGGTATTGCTCTTGCTTTCAGCAGTGTGCATGATCTCAGTGCTAAGCTCTTTAGAGAAGACAGAAAAATCATTATATGACTAGTCCCGGATGTATTAGGGTCTGTGGATCTCCTATATAAGACAGACACACACCAGTACACAATTTTCTGTTTGTGAGTTCAAGTCCCCACCATGGTACTTGAATATGACGCCTGAGCTTTGATTACTGTATTGCCTCTTGATATTTGCTTTGTGAACTGGATGAAGATTCAGGCTGTATCAAACCCACGCTCCTTATTGGTGACCTACTGGAAATGTAAAGAAAAATATGCACTGTAATATTTCTGTGAATTTGTCTATATTTCTGCAAACACATTGTCTTCTTTTTTGTCTCTTTGCAGGAAGTTCAGAAGAAAGTGTCTCTTTTCAATCTGCAGATGGACATAAGTGGATTATTTCCTGGTCTGGTGTCTACGTTCATACTTCTGTCTCATAGTGATCATCGAGGACGAAAATTCCCTTTGATTTTGTCTTCTGTTGGTGCTCTCGCAACCAGTATTTGGCTCTGTTTGCTTTCCTATTTTGCTTTTCCATTCCAGCTTTTGATTGCATCTACCTTCATTGGTGCCCTTTGTGGCAATTATACCACATTTTTAGGAGCCTGTTTTGCCTACATAGTTGATCAATGTACAGAACAGAAACAAAGAACAATTCGAATAGCTATAATCGACTTCATACTTGGACTTGTCACTGGATTGACAGGACTGTCTTCTGGCTATTTTATCAGAGAATTGGGTTTCGTGTGGTCCTTTTTAATCATTGCTATGGCTCTTACTGTTAACTTGATTTATATTTCATTTTTTCTTGGTGATTCAGTGAAAGAATCTTCATCTCAGAATGTTTCCATGTCATGTAGTGAAGGCTTTAAAGACCTATTTAACCGAACTTCCATGCTTTTTAAAAATGCTTCTGGTAAGCGACGGTATTTTCTCTGTTTGTTACTTTTTACAATGATGACTTACTT